CTATAACAATACTAGATTAACAGAAATTATAGATGCCCCTATTTGAAAAATTATAATACAGTCAACTACTTATATAACAGACATCTATAATAAAAGTTACTTATAACAGACTTAAAATTTAAATTTTAGTATAGTATAAATCCGTTATATAAATATTAGTAAAAAGCTATACAAAGAATTTTACAAAAATCTGTTATATAGATAGTTGACTATATATATGTTAGTTAAATTAGAATACCTAAAAGGTTTTCCAGATTCTACCATTATAGATATCAGTAACCATACTGGGATTAACAAGCCTATCTACCTATTTCCTACAATTCACTTCAAACCCCTTCCTATTATATAATGACTGTAATTAATGTGCCAAAGAAATAGTCAGAAAAATTAAGGTTGGTTTAAATATAACTCCACTGGTTACTAGAATTTTTTTTGCTACAGATGAAGCACAGGGTAGTCTTTTATTAGCTATTGGGTGGTTTGGAAAGTTTTGGAAGGTGCAATGGCTTATCTTGAGTGATAAATTAGGCTTGTCGGTTGACACATCAGCAACACTATATAATTTACAACATTTTTTATATGTCGCATACTTGATTATGTGAGCACAAATTCCAAGAGCTTTGTGTATCATTCTTAAAGATGTAGAGAAGGTGGCATATGTATTTTTGTCATAAAAGAGACAAAAGTACTGAAGAAATTTGATTAAAAACCCAGTTTGTATATCAGATAACTTACACCTTGCTTGATACTTCAAAGCCCAAAAAACGATATACGTAAAATTATTAGTTGTATCTGCAGGTTCAGTTGGATGGTTATTTTCTTCATATGAATTGGGAGCATTAAAATTAATTTCATTATCTTCTTCTTCTTTATCATCCGAGAACAAGGTTTCAATAAATTCCATAGATAATGAGGCGCTCTTTTTCCCCCTATTACCAGATTTTTTTCTTTTTTGGGCTGTGTCTTAGTAATAAAATTATATTCTTCTTCATATGAAGAAATAACCAATTCATTTTCAGAACTACCGGTATCAAATTGCATAGGGCTATCTGGAATTTTCATGACTAGAAATAGAATTTCTGGAAGGTCTCTTATGCTTACGGTTGTTGAAGATCCACTTATATTAAGTAAATTTCTTACTTCAGTATCTCTATTAGCC